TTCAACTGACTTTCTCTTGATCACAATACTGTCGGATTCAATGGGATTAGACTATGTTTTTCTCAGGTTCAGTGCGGGGTAACTATCAGTAGGACGCATTGATACTAGATATAATGCGCGGTATAAGCACGGTTACTGCTTCAGTATCAAAGGGGATTTTCCAAAGCTTTTTTAGGTCTTAGGGTGTTTTAAGGTCCTTTCTATGAGTGGTTCTTCATCTCTCGCATCCTTTAGAATATCCATGAAATTATCAATAACTACTAATTGTACAACAGACTACGGACTATTATATGGCTTCTCAACACATTATTTTTCTAAATATTATATCTATATTTTTGTACTTTTTGGGTGGGCTTTCCTCGCTATTAATCTGTTTTTTTTTTTGCATCAATTATTGTAAATTGTAATAATACTATATACAAAGGAATATAACATATATGATAAAAAATGAAAAATTTAGAGATATCGCGTGACAGCCAACCGGTAAAATCTTGATTGATTGTTGACGATTTTTTCGTATTTGCATCTGACTTTTAATGTCATAATGTGTACAGTGTTGAAGATAAATATTTTCAGAATAGATTAAGTAATTCAGGAATGCGGCATATCTTAGGAAGAGAAACATCTAGGTTTTCCACTCGAAACAAAAGCACAAATCCTTATTGACATTGCGTGACATCGTCGAGTGGGCCTTTCGCAAGCAGAAATTTTTTTTGGGATCACTTTCTGAAGGAGCTTAGATACCAGGCTCAATTAGGTAACCAAGCCTTCTGATGATTTGTTTACAATTCTATACTCACCTCCCCCAACTGGTTGAAGTGCGATTGGATGGGGACAGGGAAGGGAACATTTTTGTTACTTGCGCGAGAAAAAACAAATGGAGAGTTATCTGTTAACCTATTTTTTTTTGTCATTTTCGCGTGAAAGAATATTACCTTATCTGGCTGCGCTCCGTTCAAATACGAATCTTCTGCCTTTGGCTAAAATACGCTTTCTTCGAGAATTCTAAACTCTACTCACGGTCAAATGGAACCGAAGGGAATTTCAAACCTAGAAAATACTTGCTTCTGAATAGTGTCTTAGCTCTGCTCTCGGTGACGTTTTTCCGAAGGACTCGCTAGGTTGCAGAACAATCGCAAGAAGTGCACCTCGTCGAGTACAGGTCTTGAAAATGTATTCAATGTTAAAAGAAATCCTAGCAGGCAAAAAAAATTAACCTTTCGGTGAACTACGTAACTGAACCAAGAACTTTTTTTAACGGACCACAAAATTCGTCGTAAGTGTAGTAATCCACTTATTTATTCTTGACATTAAGCTTATTTCGACTTAATAAAGCAATTGGTATCAATCATATGAAAATAAGTATTTGACAACTTGATAATCTTGTTAAAACGTCATAGGAAGTTGTACCTTTAAAGAAGCTACGTGTAAAATCTGTTAGGCCTTTTCACTCTTTATAGCGGTAAATTTATATTAACCGTGGAAGCTTTGCACGTCTTAGTCATTTGCTTGATAATTTTTTGACGCTGTTGTGTTGAGCATCCATCTGAAGTGTGCGTGTATGAGTGCTCAGGGTGCAAAGAGTGAAAACGGTACGCAAACCTAATAATTTCGACCCCTCCACCCCTCCCAGCTCCACCCTCTACAAAAATGAGAAGTTTCTGGACCATATTGACTTGAAATTTTACACTTGGTAATTCCTAAATTGACTGATGCCTCACACAAGAGAAAATTATTTTCATATCATATCTGTGCACCACTGAGGCCTTGCATTAATAAAAAGGCTATTCTGGTATGTTCCAATAATGACTTTGGGTCAGATGCATTTGCAACAAAGGATGGAAAAAATTAATTATTATTAATATTATTATCATTATTATTATTGTGTTACATACTCTTAACCAAATTTGAAACTTTACTACTCCCCTCCCCCAAAGAAGCTACATGTAAACAATATAGGGCCTTTTTTAAAGTCCTCACAGTTTAATTCCTCAAGGCTTGCTGGTTTGGCAGTCAGAGGAAAAGTTATGAAAGAAATACATTCAGTTGGATTTAAAGGATTATAATTAAGATTTAAATATCAATTCCAACTGAGCAATGACTCACGATACAGAAAACAAGACATTGATTGCATTATATTAGGTGGCTTGATCCAAATGAGCCAAGAAAGCTTTTTTTTGTTTTGTTTTGTACCTAATCATAAAAAAGCCCCATATTCTGTAATTGTAAGTCATAAAGTGAAATTAAGTACTCTAACTATATTCAATAGACCTTACTGCAGTTTTCAACACCACCTTGATGGGTTGGTAGGCAGGCATGACCTTGCAGTATTTGTATGAGAATCCAGTGTCAAATAATCTTTGTGAATTATATTAGGTGGCTTGATGCAAATGAGCCAAGACAGCATTTTTTTTTTGGTTTGGTACCTAATCATAAAAAAGCCCTATATTCTGTAGTAGTAAGTCATGGAGTGAAATTCAGTACTTTAACTATATTCAATAGACCTTACTGCAGTTTTCAACATCACCTTGATGGGTTGGTGGGCAGGCTTGACCTTGCAGTATTTGTATAAGAATTCAATGTCAAATAATTTTTGTGAAAAATTCTGTTATGATAAAAATATCAGAAATATGGCAAACGTAACCAAAAGTTGCAAACGTTACAGGAAAAGGATTCTTCTGTAAAAGAATTTTCTTCTTGCAGACTAAAATTTCCTGAAAAAATAACAGACAATGCATGGAAAATCTATTACAAACAACAGGGCAAATTCAAGGACAGGTGCAGCCATAGCCACTATGAAGTAAGCATCCCTACCACTCCCAAAATGCATTATCAGTTGCCTCAGATGTCCAGGCAGTCCAGGGAACAATTTAAACATTGACTCAGCTTTGTGTAATCAGATTAATTGTTGCTAAGTGCATCATTTCATGACAACGTACTTCAACAAGTAAGGTATACATATAATATATACCACAAAAGCAAATTACTTCTGATGTTATCGCTAATTGAGATATCAGATCAAGAAAGTATAAGGTTATTAATAAAGAGTTAAATTTTAGCTGTAAGCTTTTCGAGTTATTGATTTGCCAATTTACTGTACGTTGTAAAATTACGAAAGGAAACACTAAATTTAGGTTGTAAAACACTAAAATACTTACTTACTTACCTTCCAGTCTCAAAAAGTTTTCTTCTTTGCTGCTTTAAAAATTTGAGCTTGTGTTTACTACTCGCCGAAGTTCCTTTGTATTCTCTAACGTGACAAAAAAGGTCACGCAAGCAAGAAAGGGAGTTACTACATCACGGGCGACGAGCGGGGATAGAAAAAACGACCCAAATACGAGTGGTCAGCGGTGAAACAACTTTCATACTTCATATATAGACTGTCATATATAGACAGATCATTTGTAGTATCAGGAAACAATCGTGTTGTAGAGCCGAAGTGTAAACAGTTTACTTCGCTAAATAAAATGTTAAGCAATTCAAAAGTGTTGATTGTACATATATCTTTTACTGCTTTAATAAACAATGAAGGCATCGGTGGCATCCGAAAGGTACCAAGAAGAATTAAATGTACGTTTTGTAGTTGCAGAAAACAATCGTGTTGTAAAGCCGAAATGTTACCAAGTTACACTTCGCTACTTAAAAAGTTAAGCAATTTTCCTCTAGCTTTAACTGGAACAATACTTTTAATGCTCTATTAACCAACGGAGGCATCGGGAAAGGCATTGGTGACACCGGGAAAGGCATCAAGAAGAATGATATTCACGTTATGTAACTTGTTGTGTGACGAAAAAAACGTATCTTGACTTGTTCAAAGCATTAATCACAGTTGGCTTCCTTTTCACTTGAATTTTGTATCCACAGCCTAAGATGAGAAATTTAAAATTTCTATCAGCTGAAGTTCTTTTACTGCATGTTATATCTATTCAATCGCCCCCAATTCACGTGGAAAAAAGGCAAGTAGGAAAACACTGAGCTTCGAGAAACAGCCATGTTAAGGCTAATGTATTTACCATTCCTTAAATATTTACAATCAAGACCACTCGTTTAGGAGACCTTTTCTCAAAAGATCCACACGCGCAAATAATGCTGTTTTCCGTTCGAAATGTTTTTCTTCCTATTCAATTGAACAACTGACTTAGCGTTTAAGCCGAGAAAAAAATCACAAAGTTTGAATTCTGGGATGTTGTTCACTGTTGGCTCCATCAAGTTACGATTCTGCACCATTGACGCTCGTGAAAATCTATCTTTCCCTCGAAATATCCAAAACAATAATTGCCTTCAACAGAAAAGCCATTGAGATGTTCTTTCAAAAAGTCGATCTCTAAATCTCTTAACATTGTTGGCTTTTGGTCTTCATCCATGGCAAAATCTTCCAGGAAAAGCAAACTACAGTTCGAAAACTAAGTTCCTGCCAAATTTGATTGACATTTTTGACAACCGGAAATCATGATACTTTTTTTTCGTCACGCAGCTAGCTACAAACCATATATATAATTATTCTTGGTGCCTTTCCAAATGCCTCTGACTCCCTCTCCGAAGCCTCCATTGTTTATTAAAGCAGTAAAAGATATGAGTTCAATCAACACTTTTGAAAAATTGCTTAAACTGTGAAGTAAACTGTTAACATTTCGGCTTTACAACACGATTGTCTCTGGAACAACAAATTATATGTCTCTATATGAAGTATACAAGGTGTTTCACCGCTGACCGCTCATATTTGGGTCGTTTTTTCTATCCCCGCTCGTCGCCCGTGATGTAGTAACTCCCAGCAAGAAAAGGCTTGGGCACAAATTCAGTAGGCTTGGCTACTGAGTTGAGCCTGGTTTCTAAGCTCCTTCAGAAAGTGATCCCAAAAAAAATTTCTGCCTTTCGCAATGCCCTATGGGCCGTGAAGGGTTCACCTGCAGAGCCTCTTTTTAGGTATGACGATCAAGCCCCCCTTTTTAAGGGCCTGTGAGGTTCTACTTTACCGCGACTACGTTTCTACGCAAACATTACAACGCCTGTTATTGTATTGCTTTCACAACGTTGAGATTCTGGCAAGATGTCATCGATAGCCAGCTTGATGCTCACCACTTTGGGTAAGTAAGTTCTACTCTCTGTTCGCCGCCAAGCCTGTAGTGCAGTTTCGTATTTTGACAAACCAGGAATGCACTCGAGACTCATGAAGACCCTGCTTGCGTATGAATATTTCACCCAGGTGAAGCAAGGCGGAGTATTCTTCGATCAAAATTATTGCTGAGACGTCGGGTAAAATTTCCGCACAGCCCCATACTACATTATGCATTCAGTTCTTGGATAGAGAAATCAAAGACAAAAACAATAGATTGCCATTGGGAAAACAGATTTGTTTTGCAATAGTATGGGGCTGCGCGGAAATTTTACCGCACAGCCCCATACAACATTATGCATTCAGTTCTTGGATAGAGAAAACAAAGACAAAAAAAATAGATTGCCATTGGGAAAACAGATTTGTTTTACAATAGTATGGGGCTGTGCGGAAATTTTACCAGACGTCGTAACCCTTGAACGCTGTGAACTTTCTCGTTTTGTAAATGGCGACTCGCAGATGAAAGCCTCATATCATCCGTTTGTTTGCACAGGGTAAAATACAAATGATTTAGATATTGTCGTTTATTAAGTGAAGTGCTCTGAAGGAAATTGTCGATATCGATGTGAATATGCTATCAAAACCACTTCACATGTTTTGTTGCGTTAGATGCGAAGACGAACCTCTAATTAACATTTTCATGTAGAGAGCATTTGTGAATGCAGAAATACGTGTGTAAAGCCAAATTGAAAATATCTGTTATGTGCTTTATTGTAAAATAGAACCAAATAGAGAATTCCACCTAATCTGCATAATTTTACACCTCATAAATAGTCAGGTTTTCCTTCTCTAAGATGAAGTAGTAAGAGGACAATGATGTTCAGTGCTTGCTGAAGTCCACTCGTTTATGCAAATAATGCTTATTATTGTTTTTTTAGAGGGCACGGTAACGAATCCTGCAATCTGATTAGTTTTTTACCTGGTCAGTATTTTCCTATCTCTGCCCACAGGCCACGGTAACGCTTTCGTGAGTTGCCGAGTACATCCCAACTTTCATTGTCATTTTTTCATAAATATACCTCGTTTTCTGGCTGGGCAGTATTTTTAAACAAACACGTCGGTCACTACCTCAAGCCGATAAATAACTTATGAATCCTCTCTTTTCTCTCTATCAAATCACTTTGGTTGACAGAAAAATATTGGTTTCAGAATTAATTTGAATAAAAAAATAGTGTCGTTATGTTGGTTGACAAGCGGCCTGAAAACCGTCTGCAATTAATTTTAATTGTTCACAAAAAGTGCCCAGAAAGTTGAAACATGAAGTATTTGGTTACAGTTAAACTGAACGATGGAACTTTCATTCATTTAATATCTGAATTTTCTCGAGCAATTTGTTAGTAGTGAAAGAGCGAGCGCAGTTTTAATTTAAGTTCTACAACAAATATACGCTCCTGGTGAGTCTTTCCAATTCCATTCAATTTAGACATTTGTACCGTAAATTGCACAACAGAAATTGAAGGAATTTTTTGAGAAAAGGCCGCATTAAATTCCCTCGTGTCTCGTTGGAGTGTGCCGTTTGAATTTAGTTTTTGTGAAGGAAAGACCAGATTCACACACGCCATTGCAGCAAACAAATGGGCAAACTCTCACAACTTCAAAATAAAAAATTTGAATTTACTCACAATTACTTTCCTGGCCGTTTACTTAGTGAACAGAGGTAAATCTTCATACGTGAATGAATCGTCGATGAGCATGAATAATACTTTCCATTAGATCATTGACTGTTTTTTAAGAAAACATTGTCGTGACAGACCTTGCCAAACTAGTTCCGTTGTCTTTCAAATCTTCTTGCACTTTTTTTTTTAATGCGCTCTCTAATTGACAGATTGTGACAGATACTTGTAAAAATATTGTTTCAAACTTTGTTTGGAAGCCTTTTAAATCACCTTTATCATTACGCAAGTGAAAATGTTTCAGTGAAGCATCTCCCTTTAATTTGTATCACCTCTACTTTAACTACCATTTACTTGCTCAAAATTTGTTCAGTTTATGGAAGATCTTGCCGTATTTATAGCCCTAAATCATTTGGGTTCTTTCAGAGTGTATTTCGTTAAGTTTAAAAAAAAATATATGTTATTTACCGGCTAAGGGTTGGTCCATATGGTGAAATACTGTGACCTCGGCCTTGAAAATGAAAGACCTCGGTCACAGTTTTTCACTATATGGACCTCACAGCTGGCAAATAACATATATGTATTTAGTTCATTGCTGTCATCAAATCTTTGTTGCGCAGTATTGATTTCGTTTTAGTCACAGGATGATTTGACCAACAATTGCAATAGCACCAGAAAAACTTAGATTACAGCTAATTAGATCACAGGCATAATTCTTTGTGGAAAGTGTTCAATGTGGACAATGTACTTATGTGAATTTGAGTCTTAATTGATCAGTACCCAGATTTAACACTTGAATTCAGGTTCTTGATTTATCTATGATGATTCATATAATGATGTGGTTGTCTTCTTTGTATCATAACTAATTATATCAAGATTTAAGCAATGCAGAGAACATGTTATGATTGAAATTTGTGTCTGCATCATCACTATGATGTCAGCTCTCATGTTAAAGTCATTTGTCTATTTCTGATAAGGAAATAAAATTGTATGAATCATAGTCATTATTATATCTCTCAGTCAGTATGTGCACTATGATTGGTCAATTTAGTGTGATATTTCACTTTATTTTTTTCTCAGAGGGTACAGTAATGAATCTTGCAATCTGATTGGTTCTTAGCACACACACTATTTTCCTATCTCTGTCCATGGGCAATGGTAAAGCTTTCATGGAAATGTGGAGTGCATCCCTACTTTCACTGCCATTTTTCATAAAAATATCTCATTCTTCCAGCTGGGCAGTATTTTTAAGCAAAGATGTTGGTCACTACCTCAAGCCGATAAATAACTTATTAATCTTCTCTTTTCTCCCTCTCAAATCACTTTGGTTAGCAGAAAAACATTGGTTTCGAAATGAATGTGTATAAGCAAAAGTGTCATTAAATTAGTTGACAAGTGGCCTAAAACCTGTCTGTAATTAATTTTAATCCTTCACAAAAAGTACCTGGAAAGTTAAAACGCGAGGAATTTGGTTACAATTGGATTAATATATGGAACTTTCATTCATTTAGTATCTGAATTCTCTCAAACAATTTGTCCATAGATAAAAGGTGAGCGAAGTTTTAAGTTCTTCTACAGAGACACTTTCAGTGGGTCTTTCCAAGTCTGTTCAATTTAGACATTTAGGAATTCAATGAGAAAAAGCCGCATTAAATCCCCTTGTGTCTAATTGAAGTGTCCCATTCAAATTTTGTTTTTTTGGAGAAAAGACCAGATTTACACGCGCCATTGCAGTAAACAAACAAGCAAACTTTCACAACTTCAAAATCAAAAATTTGAATTTACTTACAATTACTTTCCCTGCCATTTACTTACTGAACAGAAGTAAATCTTTGTACATTAATCAATGATGAGAGTGAATAATACTCTCTGTAAGATCATTGACTGCTTTTGAAGAAAACATTGTTGTGACAGTCCTTGCCAAACTTTCATTGTTTCAAAGTTTGTTGGAAGCCTTTTAAATCACCTTTATCTGTACGTAAATGAAAATGTTTCAGTGAAGCATCTCTCTTTAATTTAAATTACCTCTATTTTAACTACCATTTACTTGCTTGAAAATTGTTAAGTTAATGGTAGATCTTGCTGTAATTACAGCCTGAACTCATTCAGGTTCCATTTTGTGAAGAATTTCATTAGGTTTAAGGAAAAAAAATAAAAATGTCATTTGCCAGCCTAGGTCAGTCTGTATTGGGAAAAACTGTGCCCTCTGTCTTGGGTACAGTTTTTCCCAATACGGACCTCCCGGTTGGTGAATATCATATATGTACAGCCTGCTACGTTTAATGGGTTGTTTGAATTGAAATCTTCACTGTTTATGTGAACCCAGAAATATTATAAATATTTTATGTATCTCATTTTCTTGGTCCCTGCTGTAAGTTACCGAACCTCCCTTCTTTTTTGGCTTTATGGCTTGGGTGCTTTGTGCTTGGGCCTTAAATCTAAGAGGACAAAAACTTGGTCAGTTACTTGCAGAATGGACCTTGAACTGGGCAGGTTAGAGGGTTGGATGTTTATAGTTTGTGAACCTTAACCATGTTGATTTGGACTGCCACTCGTGTGTCAGAAAACAGATAATGGTACTTTTTTTACCCCAAAATAAGGTTACCTGTAACTTCAGCAGGGACCGTAAGATCTTTTATGGCATTATGAGAAATTCTATGATGTTGTCTTTAACTTGGCCACAGATTTCTGCTGACATTTTTCCTGCTCTGCAAAGACTCAGTTATTGTCATAATTTTAAAATATAGAATGCAGGTCACCTTGACAATTTACAAGGATATCACAATTTATGCAACTGTCAAGCCTCTGACTGTAGTGAAAGCTAGCATTTCCTCAATAACCATGTAGGAATTATATTCAATAAGGATGCCTACTACAAGAGTTGGTGAGAACCTCAGAATCGTCTTTGGAATCTTAATGGTAAATATCATTGACCTGATTAATGCTTCTTATATTATTTGAAAACTAACTGGCTAAAATTTTGTTTCAAGTTGTGGAAAATGTGACCGAAAGTCCATTACTTTGATAAACTCTACTTTTTGATTTCAGATCAGATACACTAGTCAATGATAAAATATTTAGGAAATTGTTCAGCTGTTAATTAGAAGTCCAATTTAGTCAGTGTTCACGAGCAATTAAACATAATAAGACAGTGGTGTGGTCAAAATTTAATACATGTATGTCATGAAGAATATTAATTCTGTGATTTAAAACTGTAAAAAAAAAATGCAAAAAGATAATGTAATTAGCTATCAATCTTTCTGATAGATAAGAATGAAGGCATAACAGGCATTACTTTAAAAAAATTTTGCTTTACAAATTTTCCTCAATAAGTTGTCCCCTAATAATTTTGCAATGACAGTGTCAATGGAAAAGGTGCTGATTTTTCACTTGACAGGCACTTGTAGCCATAAACCAGTACTTGAAGCAAGTAAGTAATTTTCCTCTTTAAAGAAAAACTCTCAGACTGAGTTTTGCAATTTTATTATGATGGATACTCAACAAGGACACTTTGAAACAAAAATTGTACTACTACAACTATTGTCTATAAGTTGCTTAGGGTTAGGGTTGTACACGTATGGTAAGCTACTGTATTTATTTGCCTACAAGCTGAGTGATCTTTGCATGAAAATCAACTGAGAACTAGTCAAACTCAAAGAAGAAAAGAGTAGTTGGGCTTATAGCCAAGTATTTCTGTCAAAAAAAAAATTGTCTATGAGAGAATATGGTAAATTAAATATATATTCAGTCATTAGCCACATGATCATCAACAAACACAAATTACTAGTCTTACCCAAAATCATTGTTGGTCAATGATTTATATATTTAGGTGGTGGCTCCTAAAGGAGCTGGTTTATCTTTGTGTATGTCATCTTAGGAATCATCTTTGCAAAGGTATGCTGCATCTTTTGAACTACTCTGCTACCTTTGCTTAACTGGAAGAATCTATTATGAAGAAATACACTCCTCGTTGCTTGACACAATTTTAATTATCTTACAACGATGAAGGAGTCCTACAATACAAATAACAACCGAACTATACTAAAATACAGTCCTTATAAGCTCACAAGAAAAACGATGCATATACCTAGAGATGATGTGCAATGTAAGATGGCTAACTTACAATAATAAAGCGGTAGGTAGAGTTCCGATCCAACGTAGATAGAGAAATACACATTTCCTCAAACGTTACAAGAACCTAAACTCAAAATGTCTGACTCCCTTGAGCCGGTCAGTGGTTGTGATAGTTCCTAGGCCCTAGCAGCCTGGTCAAGTCTCTTCACATTAAGGGTCTGAACACACTGGGCTTTCAAAATTTGTTTTGATCCACCAAAAATCTCACCAAAATTTGAAAACAAAGATCAAATTTTCTCAATTGTGGCATTCTTTCAAATCATGGCTTGTAAATTGGAAAATCTGCCAGATTTCACACCTGAAAAAAATTTGTCCTACTCTAAGACAGGATGATGATGCCTTTGGAGATTGGTAAGGCTCAACAAAATTTGGTAGGATAAAAAATCAGTGGGTCCACAAGAATCTCACTGAACTGATGACAGATTTTTCACAAAATAAACAAAAATTTGCCTATTGCACCAGGGCCCTTATTTTTAACATCCCAGAAGTACCAAACTCATCAACCACTCAATTTCAAACAGCTAGTGAAATTGTAGTTAATACATTTGGATGTCTTCAGCATTTCATGTAATTATTCTGTCATTCTAAAAACATTGTACACAATCTGTACGTGGTAAAGAGGTAGACATCAGCATCTTCAGTCGTTAGGTAACTGTCATGTGATAAGCAATTGGTTTTATGATTGATAACTTGCATGGTTTTCAAAAATTAACTCATATATCTACTGAGTAAGTTTAGTCTGATATTGAAGAAATGTAAAATGGTTTCCGTGTTTACAAAGCCTGATGTGAACACGTGGGAGGTTGGGAGAACACTCGATAAGCATAGGAAACCATGACGCGTAGTGGAGTGGTTTCCAGCTTATCAAGTGTTCTCCCAATCTCCCAAGTGTTTACATCAGGCTATGTAAACATGGAAACCACTTTACATTTCTTTCATAAAATAACTAATGAAAGAGGAATGAAAGCCATGTTTACATATGCTCATGTGAAATGGTTTTATGGCCAATCAGAGCATGCATACTATTTGAATTATTTTATAAAATTATATTATGCACATATTTTGTAATTCAAGTGTCTGTTCAATTTTTACATCTATGTAATTTAGAAAGGTCAAAAGTGTATTTAGCATAAGAAATCACAAAATATCAAAGGGAATTGTGTTACAATGCTAACAAAGTTGCAAATGTAGAGTACATCCATGTTCATGTAGGTTTGTCACTTGTATAATCTAATATATAGCTTCTGAAAAATTATAGATGCTGTTAGAGGGTTTTGTCTTGATTTCATTCCAATTCTGTCAATATCCAATGTGAATCCCCATACCTAACAAATTAAATGAAGAAAGAGGTGAAACTACCATGGCAAGCTGCATCTTATTTTCTCATTCATTTTCTGTGATCATGTGGTAGTTGTAAGCAACTCAAAATTCATCTTTTTCTTACAACTAAATGTAGTCACAAAAGCTTCACTGGCAATTATGTCATCATATGATTCCAGTGCTGTACCCACTTGAATCATTTGATGATTCAGAGAGAAATGTGTTTGGTGCTGACAATCAATCATCATATGCCTCCGTCAATGATGTTTTTTTGCTCACATAAAATTATTCCTGTGTTGATCTTTGTGATTAATGTTATTGTTTTGGTTTGTGTTGAAGTAGGCTTGGCCAAAATTTTAGGTCATCTTGAATTTTTACCCTGTAGGTTCTAAATAGTTGTTACTTAACTTAAAATTTTTCTACTTGGAGCAAATTATAGGTTCTTCCACTTACCTATTAGTAATAGTTATAGGACTGAGTGGAATGCATGTCAACAGTGGGTGCATAGGACAGTTAGTGTCTAATTACTGAGGCATAACATGTACACTGTTAAATTAGTGCTCAAATCAGGCTGGTGATATTCATGTACAAGAATTTTAGTTTTCAATTGTGCATGTTACTGCAACACAGATGATGGATGCAATGCATTTCTTACTTATTTAGGATGAAGTTTGTATGCGTCTACAAATTTTCTCACCTAAGTCCTGTGTGGCGCTTTTGCAAGTTGCAATCTAAAGAACTTAACAAGGAGCAAGACTGTTGTGGTCAGGGTGTGCATGCTTGTTGTCCAAAATGCAAACATGCATAGAAAAGAATGCATGTTAGTTTGTGCACTCTGACCTACTAATGTTCATAAAACTATCTGTTTGGGTGCACTTTGTTTTTGATTGAATCCTATGAAGGGTGCAGGTGCTCTCATGTTTTCATGCTTTTCATTAAGTTCTATATTAGAATTACCTTTATTAGAACATTTCATGAATGGGACAATTTTTAATTTGTATTTCAAATATTTTCAGTTTTTCTCACCATCAAGCATCAAGTTGTCCAAGGTAAGTTCTTGTTTGAATTTGAATACTTTGTGTTGTGAGTGAGGTGATATATGAGAAAACAGTTTAAGATTGACCCAGTTTCAACGAATATTGTCAGTGAAGTTTGACACCATCTGCAAGACTGGTTCAAGCAAGATACACTTAATACTAACCTGTTTACTTGTCAGTGTCATATAATAATAACTTTACTTCTGTTGCAATAAATATTAGTGACCCACTAATTAAAGGACACCTATTTAAGGACTGAAACAAAACTGAAAAATAGGTAAATGAATTCGTGGTACGTTTCTAAAGAAACTGGTGATGCATTGGTGGGAGAGTATAACAAGGTAATTTAGTGTTATCAACTGAGTTGAAAACATAAATTGGCCATGGTAAAGAGTTTAAAGGCTGATGTTTTGAGTGTTAGCCCTTTGTCTATCACTCTGATGAAGGGCTAAGGCTTGAAACATCAGCCTTTAAACTCTTTACGGTGGCCAATTTACGTTTTAATAAATTCACATAGACGTATTATTTGTAACTCGTTTATTGTATCTATTGAAGTAAGGTGTGGATCACTAATCTTAAATGTACATGAAATATGAGAAAATCAATCAATCAAAATGTCACTGTACAAACAAAAGCGAATAGTGTCAGGTTTCAATGTGTCAATGTGTCATGTCCTTGAGCAAACGTAAATGTTTTCATCATACATTTTTAACCTAGTTGATAATACCGAAAATAGGCAGTTAAGACTACATATGGCTACTGATATAGCACAATTTTGTATTGCATTGAAAAGAATTAGAGGTTGTTTGATAATGCCATAAGGAAGCTTTCCTAAGGATTTGTCTTGCATGCAAAACAGAAAACATGCCACATCCCACATACTTATGAGAGCCCTTTTCAACAGGAGAAAGATGATTCAAGAATATAGTGAATAATTGACACTCGACCACTTATTAAATGATAAAAAAAATCATCCTAATAATAACAATAAAAATGATGATGATAACAAAAGTAATAGTAATGATAACTTATACGGTTAGCTCTAGAACCTCACTGTTTCTCTGTCAGTTTATCCCCAGACTCCAATAATGATTAAACTAGACTTCTTTTAATTTTGATATGCCTGTTAACTATAAATCATTTTCTAATTTCATTGCAATTCCACCATTTAACCATTCCACCATTCAACCATTCCAACATTCAACCATTCCAACATTCAACCATTCCAACATTCAACCATTCTGATATTCAACCATTCCAACATTTAACCATTCCACCATTCAACCATTCCACCATTCAACCATTCTCCCATTCCACCATTCTCCCATTCCACCATTCTCCCATTCCACCATTCTCCCATTCCACCATTCTCCCATTCCACCATTCTCCCATTCCACCATTCTCCCATTCCACCATTCTCCCATTCCACCATTCTCCCATTCCACCATTCTCCCATTCCACCATTCTCCCATTCCACCATTCTCCCATTCCACCATTCTCCCATTCCACCATTCTCCCATTCCACCATTCTCCCATTCCACCATTCTCCCATTCCACCATTCTCCCATTCCACCATTCTCCCATTCCACCATTCTCCCATTCCACCATTCTCCCATTCCATCATTCTCCCATTCCACCATTCTCCCATTCCAACATTCACTCATTCCATCGTTCAACCATTCAACCATTCCACCATTCAACCATTCCACTATTCTTCCATTCCACCTTTCAACCATTCCACTATTCTTCCATTCCACCTTTCAACCATTCCACTATTCTTCCATTCCACCTTTCAACCATTCCACTATTCTTCCATTCCACTATTCTTCTATTCCACCATTCCACCTTTCCACCCATTCAACCATTCCACCATTTAACCATCCAACCATTTAACCATCCAACCATTCCACCATTCCACCATTCCACTATTCAACCATTCCACTATTCAACCATTCAACCATTCCACCATCCTCTCATTCCACCATTCAACCATTCCACCATCCTCTCATTCCACCATTCAACCATTCCACCATCCTCTCATTCCACCATTCAACCATTCCACCATTCAACCATTCCACCATCCTCTCATTCCACCATTCAACCATTCCACCATCCTCTCATTCCACCATTCAACCATTCCACCATCCTCTCATTCCACCATTCAACCATTCCACCATCCTCTCATTCCACCATTCAACCATTCCACCATCCAACCATTCCACCATTCAACCATTCCACCATCCAACCATTCCACCATTCAACCATTCCACCATCCTCTCATTCAACCATTCCACCATCCTCTCATTCAACCATTCCACCATCCTCTCATTCAACCATTCCACCATCCTCTCATTCAACCATTCCACCATCCTCTCATTCCACCATCCTCTCATTCCACCATCCTCTCATTCCACCATCCTCTCATTCCACCATCCTCTCATTCCACCATCCTCTCATTCCACCATCCTCTCATTCCACCATCCTCTCATTCCACCATCCTCTCATTCCACCATCCTCTCATTCCACCATCCTCTCATTCCACCATCCTCTCATTCCACCATCCTCTCATTCCACCATCCTCTCATTCCACCATCCTCTCATTCCACCATCCCTCAATCCAAGCAGAGGGGCATTTTGTTGCGCATGCGCCAAGAAAGTTTGTTCGGCGCGTTCGGCGCTATTTCAATATTTTCAGCGCGCTTTTGCCGGTTTTCGACTGAGCGATCGACACCTTTCTGTGATACTTTTTGGAAAGGGATGAAAGAGTATGACAAGTTTACCACCATTTCTAACTCTGTGGATACTCGTGGAGTTTGCTGGCTCTTCGGATGAGGATATTTTAATGATCAAAGTGCGAACAAAACGCGAAAATAGACCGAAAACTTGAAGTTTGAAATTTGATTTGCTGACGATCAAGATGTGCCCATGAGACTACAAACCTTGAAGGTTAGTCTTAAGATGTTGATTTCTTACTTCTATGAATCACGAAGTGGTGTGTGGAGGCGATCGTGAGAAATTCGTTACGATAATAGAAGGTAAGTTTACAATTTGATCTTATTTTACTTCAACTTTGAAATAAAATTACGTTAAGTTCGAGGTGGCCCCCAAGCTTCAAATCACTTCAAATAACATCTTCTATTCTTTCTCTTTGTAGTCCCATAGGATACAAGGCTTAAAAAAGTGTTCCAGCTTCAGGATTGAGTTGCACTTTCTACAACCTTCGGCGAATTCGTTTTTTGGAGGTTGAGGGGGAATCTCTAAGTCATGGCTCACAACTGTCTTTGGCCTTTTTGCTCTCCAAGTTTGTTGTACTTGGTATGTAGGCATGTGTCTTAACAACGTTTATAGTCTTGCCTCGATCATCTCCGGTTTTATCTTATTTTTTTGCTGTGTTTTGGTGAGAATTTTTCTGATTGTCCTTTTAGGCTTGAAGTGCTAACTAGAGGATAAACTTCGGTAGAACTTGTTTTATCACATGGCCCCCAAATCTCTCACCACTGTCAGTTCATTGTTTATTTATTTAGCTTTCGGTCTAACCAGTTCATTTACCTCAAAAAAATGCGTGGGCTTTGTATCATGAGTTTAAACTGGTGCCGTTTTCTTCATGTTCATGTGTTATTCGAAACGGATGGCGTCAGCCTCATTCTGTCTTGTTTATTTCAGTAGAATACTTCTGCCATACAAAATGAATTTTGAGTCGAAGTGTACTATAAAACTCGCAGATCAAAATTATCTAACTTTCTCTGGTTCTTAAAACATGAGATGAGCGATACAACAAATGGATAATTACTCAAGGGGCTGGAACTCCTTGTTTCTTTAGAATGTGAACTACAGTATTTCTGTCATATTTAAAAACGAATTTCGGGTTCAAATGTCTTCAAACTAGTTCGACTTGCATTTCACTTTGCCAGATAAGTCTTGATCCTTCAATTTTTATTTCTTAATTGAGACTGATGTTTGGAATTAACTGTTATGTTCTCTGCTGTTTAGGGAGATGTGAAGAGACCCCACTACATATGGTCGGTGCAATTGACAGAAAAGATAGGTGTGACATTTGCTGTGGCAAGCTGGCATTCAAGAGAATGTAATTAGTACCAGAAGCTTACTACTGGTATAAATTATTGATCTTTTGTTCTCTCCACACAACTTGCCTCAACTAGCTTATGCTATATGCAACTTGTGTCTATACCTTTTTTGCAACTATAAATTACCAATAAAGTTTTTTGAAAGTTTTGTCTAAATTTCATGGGAAAAGAATATGAGGAGTGATCAGGTGAAATATTTTCCTGTTCCTTAAGAGTGTTTGAGCTTCCAGTCTGAGCTATAAAATTTCTTAAGTGACTGATTTATGATTTTTCTGCCTTAAAATTAGCACAGCCAAACCCCTGGCTTGAAAACTATTAATTTCCACAAATAGGCATCCAAGCCAACACCTATTACTGCAGAATATGCAATGTCCCCTTTTGACATGTCTCATTTCTCTCAAATCTAATAGATGTAAATCATCCATTTTCATAAAGAGATCAACAAACCTATCCACATTAGTTTAATCTGACCTCATTTAGTCTTATTCCTGAAAAGAAAAGGCTTTTGGAAATATTTTGTTTTTTATCCTCACTGTTAAATATCAGCCTTACTGGTTCTCTGTTGTTTGGCATGTATAAGAGTCTTTTCAGACCATCAAATTGTCACACAACTCTTATATTTTAATAGGTTGGAGAATAAGGTTGCAAAGAGTGTATATGATTTTGTTGTGCAGTTGAAATGATAAATGAAAGTGATTTTTACTGGGTAATAATTGATTTATTTAACTATTCATCTTACAACTGGAAGCCCAAACTAGTACTTGTTTTCATTCACAATTTCCCAACATCATCGATCATATCTGATGATATTTCTGAGACTAATGATTGAAAAGACTTCATCTTACTCTGATAAAATCCATAATTATTCCTCCTTTTCTGACCAGATGGAGCTACCATTGCATTAGCATTGACTTTCTTTTCTTTACTCGACATTGACCTTTTTTATTTTGGTAATTGGCCCTGCCGGTTGTGATTCATGTCAAAAAAAACTTTTGAAACAAAACATAAACTTTTGTAAACTTTAAATTTTTGCCAAAATTGGAGGTACGCTGCACTTGCAGTACGGTTGAAGCTCTAAAAAACGCTTACAGGAAGGCAAGTACTTCAAATGATCACCGATAACTTGAGATAGCAATGATACGATAGAAGTATACTATCCAATTCTTTTGTGCGCTTCGACAGGTTAGTTACATCCTTCAAAAATAACATTATCCTCATCGATCGCCCAGACAATCACAAGCCAAGACTCAAACAATCTTTTGTATTTTTTAAATAACTTCCTTCCACACATCACACAATAATTTCAAGACTTTACCGCTTCCATCTAAGTTACAGAAGAAAAAATGAGAAGAAAGGTTGTCTCAAATACTCGAACCATTGTTTTTTTCCGACGTATTTTACTGCTTCTTTTCTAACGCGATACTCGAGTGGGAAAACGACGCGGGCGCATAGCAGCGGTTTCTCGCATCAAACTAAAATTTACAGAACATGCGCAACAAAATGCCCCTCTGCTCTCATTCCACCATTCAAACACTCTTCCATTCAGCCATTCAACCATTCCACCATTCTCACATTCCACCATTTGCCCATTCCACCGTTCTACCATTCCACTATTCGCCCATTTCGCCCATTCCACCATTCTCCCATTCCACCATTCTCCCATTCCACCATTCTCCCATTCCACCAATCCTCCATTCCACCATTCTCCCATTCCACCATTCTCCCATTCCACCATTCTCCCATTCCACCATTCTCCCATTCCACCATTCTCCCACTCCACCATTTTCTCATTGCACCATTCTGTCATTTCGCCATTCTGTCATTCCATCAAATAGCGTCACCTTGTTCAACTCAACGTATCGTATTTCAGACCTTTGAGCATTTGTCGTGGATTGAATTGGTAAATTGATCTCTTTTCGAATAAAATTCTTCAAAGTTTCCACGATGTGCAGATCAAACCTTTTTAGATATGTTTGCAAGGAAAAAGTGCTTTTTTTTCAATTACGCACCGGAGACGCTATTGTGAAATTATTTTGAGATGTTTATAATCTAGTGCAGTGTCACGGTTAGAACTGAAAAAGTTATATCTTCGGATATACTGGGAATAATTCGCTGATTCAAATGGTAAAATGCTCTCTCTTCTGAGAAAACTTTTCCCTCTAAATTTTCTAGATACGCGGATCACTTCTTTAAAGACTTTTCTAAAGATGCGAACAGGCTCTCAGGGGGAGTCCACTTAGACTTTCGAATCTGAATTGTTTCGAAAGTGTCTTTGTTCGAAGTGTTAGAATCATCCTCTTTGTCATGAAAAAAGGCTTTCAACTGAACGCGTTGAAAGAATTTTTCAACGTCTTGCCTTACTGCAGTACTCGGAAGAAATTAAATACAAGATAGCGATGTATCTTAAGTAGCTGGCTACGCGGTACACGGAAACAGTCAATTCAAGATGGCGATGTATCTTAAGTAGCTGGAAAATTTCTTGCGACACTCGCTACTGATAAATTTTGTGCCTATAATTTGCGCGTTTTTATATAGAACGAGGTTTACACAAAATGAATAAAGGGGTAAGTTTCTAAAGAAACTGTGGTGCTGCGTCGGTGGGAGAGTATAGCAGGTAATTTAGTGTTAACAACTGAGTTGAAAACGTAAATTAGCCACCGTAAAGGGTAAAAAAGCTGACGTTGTGAGCGTTAGCCCTTCGTCAGAGCAATACGACGAATCGCTCTGGCGAAGGGCTAACGCTCGAAACGTCAGCTTTTTTACCCTTTACGGCGGCTTATTTACGTTTCCAACTCAGTTGTTAACACTCAATTACCTGCTTTACACAAAATGGCCAAATATTGAGGTGCTACTTTTTTTTTTAACACCAGAAATAAAAATCACTAATATGGTTTAAAATGTAAGTGTTTAGGCTGTGGAATCACTTACTCATTGACGCTGAAAGAACAAGGAATACACGATAATCTGTCTTGAATTATTTATTCATCACGGCGTACGAATAAATATCAGAAGGTGGAATTACTTAAAGACGTTGAAAAATTCCTTCGCCGCGTTCAGTTAAAGCCTTTTTTCATGACAAAGAGGATGATTCTAACACCTTGAACACAGATACTCTCGAAACACTTCATATTCGGAAGTCTAAATGGACTCCCCTAAAGGGCCAGTTTAACATGCAATAAGTTAGACATTGGTGAAAAAGGAAGACAACTGGGTAACCAATTCTGAGAACACCTTCGCGACGTAGAAGGAAAAGATAAGGAAGCATCCAAACCAGGCGCAAGACGCTTTAATGTCCCTAATCACTCTAAACAACATATGACAGATTGCGGCCTTTCCTTAGATCTAGGCAGTTCGCTAGTGTTTACTACAAACATACAGATTCACATAGTTACCTATTGTATTCATCTTCGCATTAATCACACCTCAAGAATTCCATACCTAAAATATATTAAATTCACACGGCAACCAGGTGGACAATCAGACATGGTTTGATACTACTCTGGTTTACAGATTTAATGAATGTAACCGAAGAAGTTACAATTCATAGACCCAACGTTTCGACGCTCCTGTCCAGTGCCTTCATCAGGGGTGATCTAAACGCTGCAACAAGAGGTCCTTTTATATGATCGCTAATTTTTTCGCAGTTTCTCAGACTTCGTCGTTTATGTAGTGACGACTCTGATTTTTCCGAAAAATCAGAGGCAATGTACTAGTTTTTCGATAAACATGACTATCCTGTTTCTGTCGTTCAAGCGGGCCACCACCGTGCCCAAAAAATTGATTTACAGTCAGCACCATAAACGGCTGAGAAGGAAATCACTAACCGCATTCCATTCACTCACACATCTCACCCTCACAACCACGCAGTTAAACCTATCATTCTTTAAAACATTGGTGAAACAGGAAGACGACTACCTTCGCGACGTAGAAAGAAATGTCAAGGACGCATCCAAACCAGGCGGTAGACAATATAATCTCCCTAGTTATTCTAAACAACATAAGGCAGATTGCGGCCTTTCCTTACATCTAGGCAGTTCGGAAAGCCGCAAAACACTAGAACAAAAATATACCTTCCAAATCGGCACTCTTAATCCCCACGGTACCAACGAGCGCTTTTCATTCAACTAATTTGTTCTTGTTTTCTCGTCACTATATTCCCACTAATAGCGTAGCTCCATTTTCTGCATATAAATCCCCGCATAACCCACAATTTCGTCAATCGCTCTGACGAAGGGCTAACGCTCGAAACGTCAGCCTTTAACTCTTTACGGTGACCAATTTACGTTTTCAGGCTTCGTTGTGAACAAAGAGGTCGTTCGTATTCCATTGTTACCCTCACTCACTCAACAGAACAGCATTATGGCTTTGCCTCCATAGGAGGCAGTAGTCATAAAAAGAGTAATTCTTATAAATCAATTAAAATTGGAACAAATTTCTATCGCATAAAATCCTATAATACGTAAATATATCCAATTATAGCATATATATAAAAACCAAGAGTTGCACGAAGCGCAATTTTTGCAGTCAGTAATAGCTATATCTTGTTTTCTGGTTAATTTCTTAAACATTTGGACAAAAGTGGTGATCCCAGATACCTCACCGAATCCTTCCCAAAATGCGTACTGTTTACTCAAGGGATTACAATGTCCTTCGTTCTCAGGTTGTAGATAGTACTATCGTAAAAAATAATAATAATCTGATGTTTCAATCTGGGTACAGGTAGCTTTTACCTTTAAACTTAGATATTGCCATATCTTGTGGTCTCCTGTTATGTAAAGTTGGTAATTTAGTCCTTCCCAGGAGTGCCTCATGAGATGACTTACTATCACCGACAATCAATGGCCCTGATGTATAGCTTGCTGTTACAAGTTGCAGGTAAACTACTGTAACAAAACTGAATCGATTTGGGTTTTTTTTTTAGCGTCAGCTTGTGACGGTGGAGTGCAAAGAGTGTATGCAGAATACAGTAGAAATGACTCCATTTTCAGTCCTGGATACCCTAGGAGTTATTATGATTCACAGTCTTGTCAGTGGCGGATCATTGCTTCCTCCGGCCATAGGATCCTCATCTACTTTACAGTATTCGATTTGGAAAGTTGTGAATCGTGTAACTGTGACAAAGTGGAAATTTATGATGGACAAAACCAATACTACAATATTTTGTCAAAAAGTTGTGGAAACAGTCTTCCTGACCCAGTGTATTCTACTGGTACTGATATCTTCATGAAATTCACTTCTGACTCTATGGTATCACGGAGAGGCTTTGTGGCACACTACAGAGTGCTGAATGATTCATCAGGTTGGTCTTGAATAGTTTGATTAAAAGAGGATCATCAATTTATTCTCGTGCACTCGTTAATGAGATCCGATGCAGATAAGGTGAAATAATCAATATAACAAAATTTGGAAGGAATATGTAGGTGGACTCAAAGTTAAACTAAGTGAGAGATTTGCAAATAAATCAACAGAGGTTGTTACATAACAACAAGATGAACAGAAATGTTGGAGAAGAAAGGTAACGCCTTTCCCATGAATTAAGAAGAAGGCCAATTACAATTTCAGTGCGGTAAATTAAGTAAAACGTTTTCACAGGCATAGCCATACAGACCGAGAGAGAGAGAGAGAGAGGATAGCAACGAGTGGTCAATTAGTCAATATTTTCAAATCAACAAACTCTTTTCCAAAGGTTAATTCGACGTAAAATAGACCTAACGAAACGATTGAAAATACAGGAATGAAATTACTAGGAAGACTTTCAAGGAAATCAACGTGTGCCAAAGCAACCACTTATGGTGTCAACATAGAAAAGTAAACATAGTTTGCTAAAAAAACATAAACTGAACAACTGTGCTACACTGTGCTGTATTAGTGTGAATGTATGTGAACAGATGTGTTTGTCTACATGTTGGCACTCCTGCGGGTAAGGTTTAAATGTTACGTTGATGTGTGCTATAGACACTTTGTTCGTCACAATATTTCTGTTCAGGAGCAGAAATGCCGATGTAGACCTTCACATGCATCCCTTGTGAAAAAATTGTCAATTGTGGTCGAGCGAAGGTTGCTATAACCACGAGACTTTATCTGTTTCAGCGACATTTTTTCGCCTTTCATTCACAGTCTATTTTTTTTACGAAGACTGATATCAGAGATCTTCGCGTGCAACTGGAATCAGGAGAAGTTTAGAAAGTTCTGCGACGGAAAACATTTCGGGAGTCATATATGTTGACACCTTATAATTGGCTGTTCACTCATTTCAGGTTGTCCCTCAATCATTCCTGGCGCCTCAGCAGGCGTAATTTATAGTCCCAATTTTCCTTGGAGTTATCCGCTCTCCAGATCATGTGAGTGGCGCATTAGAGCACCTTGGGGGCAAAGGGTTCATTTGAAGTTCATAAAATTCAACTTGGAGACTTCTAGTTTTTCGTGCGAATTCGACTACGTGGAGGTGCTGGATAAGTACAACACTCAGCTTGGAAAGTACTGCGGGTCTGATATTCCATCCTCCATCTCCTCATCCTCCTCTTTAACTGTTAAGTTCAACTCTGATTACTCCAACACCTTCTCGGGATTCCTGTTACTGTACCAAACGGGATACAGCTTCCCAACAGGAGCGCCAGTCTGGACTACTTACAGACCTTACACCTCAACAACGGTACAATATCACAGTTGTAGTAGTTACAGCTCTGAAACAAGTAAGTTCATCAGTTTTCTATAGCTTACCGAGAGAATAGTTGTGCAGTAAGGAGAGGTTGTCTTTACATTTATTATTCCACTACTACGTCATTTTACCATATTAGGGCAATGAAACACGCAGTAGGCCAGCTTTTACACTCTCAACGGTGGCACACTTATCGACTCAGTTGATAGTACCGAATTACCTTGTTATACTCGACGACTGACGCAGCACTACAGTTTCTTTAGAAACTTACCCCTTTATTTATTTGACAACTTAGACAGTCAGGAATGATAAATACACAGTTTCCTTAAACATGGTCATTTTTATTTCCTTGACGTTTCATGAGCTTTTTCCTTCAAATTATGACACACGAGAAATTTTAAAACAGATTTATAGAATAAATCAAAGAATAACTATGGCCAACTCGTTCGAAAAGTACTTAATCTCGAGATGAACATGGTTGTGAACTTTTGATTTGGTTTTGCAGCAATGCAAGGTTGCTCTTGTCTCAAAAGCCAAGCTTCTGGAAAATCATAGAGAGATCCATAATTATATTAACGATCCAACTCTGTAGAATGATAAACGCATATATAGTCTACAAAATTCTTCAAATTTAGACATTGCAAACCAAATCGTTCTTCGTCTGCACAAGCCAAATTCCACCATTTTCTATTCGTATGTCGACTTCGTCACGTTTCGTCTCACAGTTGCTCAATAAATATTACATAGTAAAGCAATAATCTTTGTTTACAGGGTTTTCTCCCGCTTGCATCCGATGACAAACTTTTAGGTATTCTACCTTGGAACGAAATTACCTCAGAATGCATTTTTTTTTAAAATTTTATTTAAACACGGTCAATTCATCAGCCTAAAAAATACATATCACATACGCTAGAATATTTAAAACTCAAACTATATACTATAACACTAAAAGCTGTTTTCCGTGAGTGCCGTGCGTTAGACTTAAAGAATGTCATTGATCTTACGTTTAAATACCCCCAGAGACTCTGTGTTCCTTATATCGCATGGTAGACTGTTCCATAATGTGGCGCCATTGTAGCTAAAACTTTTTCGGTAATAATTAGTGCGCGGTAAGGGAACATTGAGCTTATTTTCAGAGTCCCTGAGGTCATAAGCAGAGTCACGCCACGTAAACTTTGAACACAGATACTCTGGAGCTGCATGTTATGTGACTGCAAGTTTTTCTGACCAATTGAAACTAAAGATATGTGGCAATGAATTCCCCAAGTTTTCTTTTATGAGAAAAGCACACGATTATTGTGGTCCGCTTCTGACCGATCCAGTCGCCAATGTTTACATAAGATCACAGGCAGACCACACTATGTGATCGTAGTTAACCCTTTAAACCCTGAGAGTGACCAGCATCTAATTTCTTCTAACGCTAATACAGCTGAATCATTCATTGAGATCACGAGAATAAAGGAAATGATCGCTAACCAAAGAAGCTTTGATTGTTAAACAAATTCTCCTTGTAGGTACTAAAGGAAATGTGCAGAGAAGAGTATGAGACTATGGATACTGATGTCAGGGTGTAACGGGTCAATAATTATTGACATGACACGAACAAAATCTATGCGCGGGGTTATGAATAATGCTGTGGCTAAATGCCCGGCAGTCAGAAATTTTCGCAGAATTTCAACTGTGAGGTTCTTTCAAACTTCTTAAGAATATCAGAGGTTTGTTTGGAAAGTCAAGCGATTCCAAAAATTAATCTATTGTTTCAATGGACAAATTCTCCGAGCTTGTGCATCTTATAATATCGCTCAGTTATCGACACTTAAAATTCTATGCTTCTGATCAGATTGCCAAGTACGGTCTCGAGTAGACTTAATGCTTGGCAGTTAGAATTAAATATTCACCAGAATGCCGTTGAAAGATTTCGAAGCGTTTTACGTCGGAAAAAAATGGCACTTTTATCACTTCTTTTTTTAAAAAAGTTCTTTCTGGAAGACAGTAATTCAACGTGTTCCCTTATGCTGTATTTTGGTTCACTTGATGTATAGATTTCCGACAGTAGCTTTTCATCTTTTACCATAGTACCCCCAAAGGCCCTGGTACACTGGTAAAACGAGAAAACCTCCTTAAATCTATACTCCGTGAAAAAGAGTTTTCTCGGAATTCGGTGGATATTTCCGACCGTCAGGTATTTAGTCCCGGTAGTCTGTTCAAGCGTCGACAACCAAGCGATTTTGTGGTTGGAGCTTGGAAAATTTGCCCGCTCAAAAACAAAATACTTCCAGAATCACTTGGGATGTTTGAACAAACATTGAATTTAAATAAATTTCATTTGAGGTTTTCTACATTGTTTCCCTCCATGCCGGTTACTGAATTTGAAGCTGTTCTGACCTAGGTGACCCTTAACCTTTTGCACCCTAAAATCAGTATGCATATTCTCCATACTTCACTTCATATATTTCGTAAGGTGCTAACAAGGAGAATTTGTTTACCAATCAAGAGCTTCTTTCGTTGGTAATCATTTCCTTCATTCTCATGACCTTAACGTGTGATTCAGGGGTGATATTGTAGAGAGAAATTTGATGATAGTCACTCCTGGAGTTTAAAGGGTTAAGAAACCAGCTTGACCTCCAAAGCGTTATAACATGTCTATTAGTTTCAGTATGGTACGTATAAGCTTGACCACTGAAAAAAAACCAAGGCAATTCTTAGAATCGCATGAAATTTCTAAACAAACATCGAATATACTCAATAGGTTTGTATGGAGTTTTCAGTGGCATCTTGGTGAAAACTTCTAACTGCTGGTCATTTAATCCATTCGAGACCGTGCCGGGCAGTCTTACCAAGCGATATTCTAGAATGCTCAAGCTCGGAGAATTTGTCCACTAAAAAACAAATTCATTTTCTTAATCGCTTGACATTTCTAAACTAACTAGATTAATGGAAATGTTTTTTTTAAGGTGTTTACGTTGAAAGCACAAGCTCGACATCCATCCGTTCTGATTATGACGACTACTTGAACACCAGGGCTCCCTATTCAAGCTGCACATTCAAAATTTCTACAAAGAAGGGTTACAACCTGAAGTTTAGTCTTGAGACAATGTATATGTCAGGCTGTTATAGCTGTTCATGTGGATATCTGAAAGTTAGAGATGGAAGTTCATCAAGTGATCCGCTTCTCGGCGAATACTGTGGCAGTGTAAGCTCTGGCACAGTAACATCGACAGGAAACCATTTATTCGTTGTTTTTAACAGTGATTACAGCAGTGCCCGCTTTCGCGCAACAGTCAGTTCCATCAAAGGTAACTTTTCTTTCGAATTTTACGCGAGCAATGATTTCCTTCAAACCACCATACTTTGAAGCAACTACTCTTCTCCCTATTTCATTTGTTGTTTGATCCAGGTTCTAATGTGAAAGTTGCGGCCATCGTCGTGCCAATTGTTATCGCAGTTGTCCTGTTTTCCCTCATCTTTGTTGTCATAAAGTGCACTAAGATAAATCGTTCTGCTGGACCGGCTGGATCATCTCGTGTGAACGACGTTCCCCTGCAGCCCCTCTCAGATACCATGGTGGTACAGACGATTGCGCCATCTCTGTCTCCTGGTACACTGCAAGTTGATGTTCCGCCACCTCATTCCATACCCCTGACAGCCCCTGTTCAACTGCCTCCCTCCACTGATCATTCACAGGGTTTTACTAACTTCACAGCAGAAGGAGAATATGTTCAAGGATGAACATTTCTCGGCCTATTTCCAGGGTTCGTTGGTTTGATGCGTGTGTAATTTCTATGCGGATAAACTGGATATTTACTGAATTAGTTATTAATGCATTTTATTATCCAATCACACAAAGTAGAATACAAATAACGCGCGAATAGGGTACAAATATCCTGCGACATAGTACAGTTGGTTATTTCCTACCGTTAAAAAAAAAACCTTCTTTAACCGGTCGGCTGCTCGCGTTACGCTTCTCTTTCCGCTTTGCTTTTCCCGTCCTATGAGAAATGAGCAGAAACACTTGACAGAGAAAAAAAAAAGTTGGATAATAAATGACTTATTAGACGTTTTGGAATTTAGTATTGCGTACTACTTTTGTATTTTGACTCGCCCATCGGGCTTTTCAAAATACGGCACAACTCGTTAAAATACTCAGCGCTACTTCATACCAAACATCTAATGAGATATCTAAGCTGGGGGAATATAAATGCAGCCGTGGCATGGATTTACTGGTTGTAAACGTGCCACGAGGTTATTTTACCGTGTATCTAGTAGGAACTTAGCGTGAAGGACCTTGAGGGCTCTTAATGTTTTATATTGAATTAGAACATGTAGAATACTTGTACGTTGATTTTAGTTCAGGTTATGTTGACAAGTACAACTGATCGTCAACACAGCTTCGATACGCGCGTAAGTGGTTAAAGAATGTTGAGTACTGTTCTTTCATTCCCGAGGTAGGGTGGTTAATAGTTTAGTTCACACATTTTAGCTTGGAAAAATTTTGCTCTAAGCCGACATAGATTTTTAGCTTTGAGGAGTGTTATAGGGTGCGGCATAGTTAGTAGTTTCAGATTCCTTGTTTCGCACATATGAAAGGTCATGAACATGAAATGCGTGATGAAATTCATAGTTATTACCGTTCATAATGATTGCAATATCTGACGAAAGTTTATCAAAACAGATGATTTTGCTTGATGTACTTTTACGACTGTCGGTATTATCTCTTGCCATCATCAACTGCCTGAGTTAGAATTTAAGCTACATAGTGTATTTTATGCCGATGAAAGAGGAGTGGTAGAACGAGGAAGAGTCGGCTACTGTTTAGTTATTATGAAAGTATCAAATTAAGTTCACAACAATTTGTTTTAATTAGTTTATTTCATAGTTGTGTGAAAGGCTTCTCTTTAAAATAACGTATAGTAGAGCAAAATGCCTTTTTTATGAAGTAGTTTCATCTTCTAACGACCCTCTGCAATCAGACTTTTTGTAATAAATATTATAAAATAATTAAAATAGTACGCGCGCTCTGATTGGCCATAAGACCATTTTACATGAGCGTATGTAATCACGGTTTTCGTTCCTCTTTCATTAGTTATTTTATAAAAGAATGTAAAATGGTTTCCGTGTTTACATAGCCTGATGTCGATAAGCTGGAAACCACTCCGCTTCGCGTCGTGGTTTCCTACGCTTATCTCATGTTCTCCCAACCTCCCGCGCCTTTACATCAGGCTATGTAAACATGGAAACCATTTTACATTTCTTCATTATATTCTTTTGGAACTTGATTTGAATTAGAACAGCAGTCAATTTCATAGTAGTCAGTCAGTCAATCATGATGGGTATTATAATGTATAAGAAGCTTAAATCGCATTTTAATGTAGAATTTGATTACCAGCTTAAGAAAATTAAAATCAACCCAGTGAAATACGTGACTGGAATCCGTTAGAGGAAGTAGCCTTAGTTAGTCAGTGTGTTGTAATGACGTGGTAACTTAAACAACCCCACCTCTTAGAGGTTGGTGTTAGTGTTTAAGAGTCAAAGAGCGCTCTTCGATTAAGTGTCGTCAATCCAAAAATAACAAAAAAACAAACAAACAAACAAATAAGAATAACAAGAAGCCAATGTGAACTTAAAGTAAAAACAAGGAAAGAACCTGTAAAGAAGGTGAACGTTAGTGACGAAGGTTCCGCTGGTTTAATTTCTGAATCAATCGCAGATTGAGACGAAGTAAAATCATGCAGTCCTTGGCTACTTGTGACACGCTATTTAAAAGTGCTCTATAAAAGTACGAACATATGATTCATTTAGCTTGTAGATATAAATGTTGCCTTAAAAAGGAGGATGACAACAATAAATAGAGTGAAGAAAAACCTGGTTAACACTATTCCTGCGTTTGGCTTTAAAGTATGCTCCTTGGGAATTGGTTTCATATGATCGCCTTGGGCCTTTGAGGGCTTTTGTTGATATGCACGTATTTAAAAAATTCATATTTATGATCCAATTTTGCAAATAAATAGACATGAAGACTCTCTCTCCAGACTAACTTTCTACAAGAGAATATAAACAGTTAATATTCTCTTGTTTTCCACATGGCTATTTTCTCCTGAAAGCGTCTGATTGCACTAATTTGTCAGCTCTTTTCCTGTTCATTATGATTAAAAATGTCGCAATAGCGTTTCTACCTGACCAGCATGCATCAGGGGAAGAGAACAGGGAAACGACGAGCTCTATTTATTCTCAGTGAGCACTATGGGATATATTTAGTCATCCATATATTTCTTCTCCACATTTTCGTCTGCAATATCTCCCCACGCGAGAGGTGATAAGACTGCTTTTAATTCACGGTCACACTGTTCACAGTTCACAGAAGGAGGCTTGAGTTTAGACACTGTATCACCAACAATGTTTGTGGTTGTAGCAACCGGTAAGTCAATGTTTTGACATACCAAACGAACGGCACTATTTTGAAATAACGAAATACAACAGGCGTACTCAAGGGGTTTTGCAAGGTACAATTTTTGTTGATCATGCGATTATGGATTACGAACGATTTTGTGTGGATACTTTTGTGTACAAAACACGGTTCAGGTAAGTTAAAACAAGGTTAAAAAGCTTGATTGAGTCGCTAGCGTTTCATCTGACATTTTCATGAAGTGCGAGCAATCTAAATCACCTGCATAGTAAAAGTATTGATAATGTCTGCGACGGCAGATTACAACAGACAGACGAAAACATCATATCTATGTTTTTGTTTCAACTTTGTCTATCGGGCGTTAACTCGATTATTTCAGTGCATGAAGTCTAAATTTTGTTTTGTTCGCATGAAAGTTGCGTGACCGAGTAGAAGGCTATTAAACAACAAGGGCTTTTCAGTATTTTGAAGGCAAACTGTTTGTTTGCTCAGTTCAAAGGCAGGTCACTTATCCATATTATTATCTTGCTCTCAGTCCTCTTAATAAGAAGTACTGAGGTAGGCAAAAAGGTTTCTAACAATATGTTTTTTCGATTTTAAACCTACGATTGAAGTTTCAGCAGTGTTTAATTTGCATACGAGAGAACTGTCGACCAGATGATGCGTGACGGAAGCTGAGCAGCTATGTTTGCCGTGACATTTATCATTTGTACGCATTTCTCTTTCAGTTCTTCTCTTGGTAACTGAAACACACTCAACAAGTAAGAAGTTATTTCTTTAAATCGTGTTCATTGCGAGTTGATATAAATAGCGAAGAATCATTTGTGAGCCGCTTAATCGATTATTGTCATGGACAAAAGCAGTATAGCTCTTGACTAAATTATTTCCAAACATAGCACGATAATCAACATTTGATCCAAATTTCAGAGAGGATGGGGGTTTTCTTGTGGTAGTAAGATGATTTTTGTTTTACTACGTTCGAGCAAGCTACAGATTTCCAGCAGCGGTAATTGAAGTAATTGTATGTTTTATATGATTGTTGGGTGGACTATCTTGGATTTGGTTTAGCCGTTTATATTCCTTTTTTTTTTCGTTCTCGCTAGTCTGCCTAGGGGGAAAAAATATTCTTACAGGAGCCAACGGTCAGCTAAGCAGCCCAGATCCGGGTAAATCTGGAATTTGTTCTTGGGAAGTTAAGGTCCCCGAAGATTCACGGATAGTTTTTTACTTCAACATCTACGAGATTGGGCATTGCGGTAACAGTTACTCGAATGAAAACAGGTGCGCTGGCTGCACTCGCATAGAACTGAGGAACAGCTCTAATAAACCACCATGGTACACATTCTGTGATTCCAAAGCAAGCATACCCGAACCTTTGTCCACCGACACAAGCACCCTTCTCGTGAATTTCCAGTTGGAAGCAGATGACAAAGAGAGCTGGTTCACTGCTGAATACGAATCTTGGCCATCTCATGATAGTAATAATTTTAAATGCTTTTTTTATTCATTATTATTATTAACTGAATTATTTTGAAGTGGTCTTGGTCCAACTATAATTTTTTATTTCAGTGAAAGTTTTGGTGTATTGAACAATACATGCACGTTGTTGCATTTAGTTTTTGTTCTGTTTTAATTTTCAAAGGTGGGTGGGTGGGAGTCCCTCTTGTGTCACAGAGGAGGCTCCGCAGTCATGTTTAATACCTTCAACGGTTTCGAAAATCAGTTTATCAAATGGCACATTACTTTTTTTAAGCAAAATCGAGTTATATGTTTAAGGGTAATTAAGACAAACTCAACCATACTGAGGACATTCGCTATTTAAAGAACAATTACTCTGTGAGGGGTATAAAGGTCCTTCTAAAACTGGAAAAGTGGCAAAATGTTACATCAAAACTGAAAAACGAATTTACCTCAGGACTTCTTTGCCGTATAACAAACTGATTTATTTCGGTCATATATGATGAGATTCCTTAAGGGATAACAAAGAAATCACTAACTTTGCCTCTTTTCCAGCATGTGGCTCCGTATCTTTGTTAGTGTATAGCCCCCAATAGCGAGGATCTGGGACGCACAGGTTCGCACCCCGTCGAAGCTGGAATTTTCTGTACGCTTTCTTGTCTTCCAATTTTTCTATTACACCTCACCAGTTAAGATCATTTCGGTATTTAAAACATCCACAGATAAAGAGAGATGAAATAGTTCATTTACTTGTCAGAGAAGAATTGACTAACAAATGTAGTCCTCCAAAATCATTCCGTTCTAGCGAAACAACTTTTGATGTACCATAAACATGAAAGACAGCTAAGTAAAGAAAAAGAAGAGCATTAAGTTGTGAAAATAAAATCTCAAAAATACATTTAGGCTTCGTTCAAGCTCGTATGATATTTAGGGTTTATTTTCACAACTACTTTTTACAGGAATCATTGCACGTAACCGCATCGATATTACTTCTTTGGTAAATCTTTGTTCATGAGTCTAACTAAATAATTTCCATACATTACCGTACAATTTTTTTTTCGAGCTTTGTTTTCACAACTTCGTAAGTTGTGTTTAAAAATGAGATTATTCTTCCTCGCACTATTTTACTTCTGTTCGATCAGGTTGATATGATGTTTTTAAATCAAAGAAACCAAGCTTTATGATGTATAACTTGTTTTTCTTTACGAAAGAATTCCCGCTGGCCATTCAAGGCGAGGGAGCACAAACGAAAAACCCGGCAACAAGGGTCCAGGTTTAAAATTCACGACTTCGTTTCAAGTGTCACTATTTGATCGACACATATGAGATTTAAATGGCTGAGTTCGCGGCGAATCTCGGGAATTTCAAACGAACTTCCATAACCTTTGGTAAAAATGGTTTTTAGTGTGAAAAATAACTAAAGATAGTCTTTTTTGTTAGGAGAATGTCCAAACAAAACCATTTTTCAAAGGTTACTTAATCTCAGTCAATGACGAAGACCATGAGTGGTTAAGTCTCACTACTCCCGTCAAATAAAATTGTCTCAGTAAGGTGCGGTAGTTTTACAAAAACAGAAGTGAAAAGAGAAATTTTTGAAATTTTTTTGCACGGTATGTAGAGATCATTCTAGTAAAGACTTTGCTTATCGCCTCATGCCAAGACTACAACTTGGCATTCACCATCCTTAAGTGTACATGTGAATGTTTATTTATTAAGTCCTTTTTGTTATCCTTTTTCCTTCTTTTTGTAGGGGTCGACCTGGTAACAACATCAACCGCACATATTTCAAGTCCACTATTTCCTGGCAGATATCCGAGGAATTCGCATTTTCGGTGGTTAGTGGTTTCTCCCTCAGGATATCGCGTGAAAATTGAATTCTCTAAGTTCGACTTGCGCTATTGTGCTAGATGTCTGGAATGTGATTTCCTAAGAGTGCTTGATGGTGCTTCGCCTGAAAGCCAAGTGTTAGGGACATACTGCTCAAATCCTGGTACCCTATACACTTCAGGAAATAACGTTTGGATAGAGTTTGTAGCATCAAAGGACCTCAACCAAGTATATGACAGCACTGGGTTCAAAGCAACACTTTCAAGGGGTAGGCGTTTTACGATATTGAATAATTGTTTAGAAATGACGGGAAATACTCTGAAAAATATCAAACAAACTTTTGGTGCTGTTTCCGCTTTGAAGAGGTCAATAAACCTTCGTTATTCGATCCTTAAATTCACTACTACAACAATGAAATTTCCCGTACTGTAGACGATGTAATGATTTTGTTTATCTATAGTTACCCCAAAGGTGTACAAACGATGTCAGGGACCCCGTGATAATCGATATCGTATTACCGAAATTCCTTTTTCTGTTATCATTACTGTCCGAAATTTTTCAAAAAAATGTTATGTCAAAAAAGAATATTGATCTGTTCTTTGTTTATGACTCTCTAATATTGTCAAATTGCTTACTTGCTTCACGATTACTGTTGAGCGAAACCAAAGGTCAGTGGAAACCGATCGTTTACTGAATGCAGATGTTTTCGAGTTTACTAACTCGACCATCAACCTCGCAGTTTGTTTAGGAATCGCCTTTCCAGTTAAATCCAGTCATCGATTCAGATCTAAATGATAAAACACACAATTACCAAGAGACCACGAGCCTCATCCTCTCTTGAAAAAAATCATTTCGTTGGGAGAAATTTTTGCCGAAGAAAGCCATCTGTGGGACTCACATATGTAGAACTATGACGTTGAAATTGAATAATTATTTTTAAATAACTGTCTCACGTGTGTGTAAGTCAAGTGTGCTTTTATTTTGCCAATGGCAACGAAACTTAATTCCAAATCGAGAGGTTGGTCTCACAGTCACATTACATTTGAAAGCATTGCAGAAAAACAAGCCTTATAGTGAAAAAAATTGGGCTGCGATGGGATGCGAATTTCTACCTTTCAGGTACTTAAGCTACGTTATATTAGACATAGTAGCTGATGAAAGTTGACGGAAGTGTACATTAGTGCCCGTTCTAAAACGCAATATAGTTGACTATCATCAATGATCATGACCGTTGAAACGGGGCTTAAACTTATCGAAGCCCGAAATTTTTGTGATCTTATTCAATTTTGTTTTTTGTTTTACAGCGTAATATTTGAAGGAAGGGATGAGGGGGGTGGGGGGGCTGAAGCCGCCTCAACCCCTCCCCTTCACGCGCGTTCCATTTGTAGAAGTCTACATCGCACATACGTCATTCAAATCCGAGATGATCTTTATTAAAAATCACAACTTTTATGGGACAATCCAGTTGACTGTTTGCACGTGCCGAGAAAATTTGGTAAACTTTACTGAAGTAGGCTCTAAAATTTGAATGCCCCGGGAGCAAAATCAAGAACCGATCTAAATACAATAAGCTCAGAATTCTCACACTTCAGAGCGGGAGCATACTATTTTATTTATTTATTCAAGTATTATCTCTGTTTCCAAATAATGAGACTTGACTCTAATTCCCTTTTTTTCCATAGAAATCAGGCTCTATGTGATTGTGGTACCGTGCATTCTTGGAATCTTTTTGATAAGCCTCGTGGTCGCTATCCTTGTTGTTATGTGTCGCCGTCGCCGTCTCTCCCCAACGGGAAATGGAGCCCCTGTTGTACAGATGTCCTTACTGAACGAAGACGACAATTTTAGTAATGCTCATTTGTCCGATGCTGGACCACACATTGAAGCCAGCTTACCAGTGTATCGTCCAACAACACAGAAAATAAGGAGATGACGAACCGCCTTACATCAGCCAGAGAAGGAACGCTTTACACTGTTGTGTAATATGTTTAGTTGTGGTCATTATATAGTCGTTGTACAATTTTGTTTGTCATAAGATTCCCTGAACATTTATTTACAAATATGGTAATGAAGTCAGGCTATGAAGCGGTGAAAAGAATTGGAAAACGGAAACGTCACCATCATGTGATTTCCTGAATCAGTTTTACTTCTCTTCTTGTCATCATGACCAAGTTATGTGCAATTGGAACCTGTAGAGAGGGAGATTTTTCTCCAAGCCTTGATTGAAAATTCCAACATTAATAGCTTTATTAAGGCCGAGTTTTCTTCAAGGTTCGGACGAGTATTAGTTTACGTTACTACAACTATTTACAATAGCTCATTACGATTCTTTATTGTAATCAACATAACATTTTAAATTAGAAAAGGTGTGATTTTCTATCCAAGTTGTGTGTGTTTAAAACACAGTAAGAAGTCAGAAATGTGAGTAGATGTAGATTAGCTGTGCGTCGAAAATAGGAACATCAGACAGATAGTCATAATCATTAGTCAGGCGGAGAGTTACCATAGTTGAATCAACTATCAACTATAATCTTTTTTATATCCCTAACTGCCGGATTCTGATATGCAATTATCCTTAAAAATTATATTGCATGAAAAAACGCTGGTAATGACAACAATTGTAATTGTGCTAAGGATTATTTATTAATTTCTTGTTCAGAGTGTTCGCTCATTGAGGCGCGTGGTCCTGAATCGGCCAAACCATCTGATGGTCAGAGCTCGAATAATTCGCCGATGCGTGGTGAAAACTTTATTTGAAAATGTTTTTTCCTTTTATAACGAAATTTGCCTTTACCTTTATTTTTTCTTTGTTTGTTTTGTTGTTGTTGTTGTTTTTTTTTGAAGACAAACAATTTTTTTGAAAGTGAGAGAGTTAAGATCTGAGTAGATTTTAATCAACTGATTCTTAACTAAGAAAATTCACTCAATGGTAGTTACCAGTGTTGTTATGACTATTGAGTGGCTAGTCCACTGTGATTACTAAAACGGTAGTAAGCAAACAATTACGATTATAGAAATAGTGATAATAATTAATGATAATCATGAAAATAGTGACTACTTAGTCGTGTCAAGTCCTGTATCACAGAACAGTGATTAACGGTTTGAATCTCAGATGGAGGCTACAGTGAACAACCATTCTAGGTGCTGTGTATCCTAAACTCATATCCAATGACAGTGTGATGATAATGTCGCGGCGGTAAAGGCCTGAGACTGCTTGGTCAATTAGGATAGAAAACTTAAAAATAAGAAGGATTTCAAAGACTCAGTGTAAAAGAGAGTCTAGGCCAAAGTATAGGCTAAGGTAACAGGCTAATGAATTGACCAGTTTAATGTCTATTAAACAACGAAGAAAACAGACAACCGATCAAAACTAATCCAAAAAATCAGAGAATCAATTATGTGTCCGGTAGTTTAAAGAAACATTGTAAGCTTGTTGTTATCAATTATTCCCAACTATTTTCTGGTATAAAAATTGTAGATCTCTTAGTACTTAGGAGTACAGAGATTGATTAGGACTAATGGACATAACTGTCCTCTTCGGGTAAAACCATTACGATGTTGTTGCTTTTCTCGCAAAGAAATGACACTCCAATATTTTATTTTAAATTCGTTTTTCTCTAAACATTATTTTGTAACTCGCATTGTTGATTTGTCACAAAGAAAAGTTTTCTCTGCTCAAACCAAGAAAAGACCGTTTATCGGGAGATATTTAGGATAAATTGTTATTTCCCTTTTTTGATGACTCAATGCAATCGTGTCACGAATGTAACAGGCCTTATTTCTTGAAAAATAATGATCATACCGTCTGCAGTGCTGTGATTCGCCTAACTGACAAACATAGCAAATTGCAATGTGGTAATGTAAAATAGCTACCCTACTGATGTTTCGAGCGTTAGCCCTTTGTTTTGCTCTAACGAAGGTCTAGCTCTAGAAACGTCACCTTTAGAAACCTTTAACGGTGGCCAGTGTACATTATCAACTCAACTGATACAATCAACTTATCTTGTTATACTCCTCACCAGCCTAGCACCGCAGTTTCTTTAAAAACTTACCCCTGTAACAAAAATGCAAGTTTGATTCGTTCATCCTGTAAGAATGTTTCCTTTGGTGTTTGCACTAAGTCTTATAGCTACCTAATGGTAGCTAGATTTTTAGAACTTACCATTGGATATTGCTGTGTCAACCAGCAAGATGCTGTAAGAGTATTTTAAAACAAAGAAGAAAAGAACACCACAACCAACAAATAAAAAGAACAACATTTCTATAAGGGTGTCGTAAATTATGGCGTATTTGCGCCCTTTCCGCGAAAAGAAAACGTAAATCACTAAATTGTTCATGAGGCAGTGTTCACACGAGTGTCGCTGCGATTGACTGCAAAGGTCTCGTCCATTTTGGCTGTAAGTTTTGAGATTTTCAAGATGGTTTTTCAGTTCCATTCCGACTGAAATAGACATTTAGGACCTCAAAATGAAAAGGAAATATGCTAAAAATTTAAGTGATAATGACGAAATGAGCTTTTGATTAATAAATACTTTGATTCCCAAACGCGATTCGAATCATGGATGGAAAACGAATGATGAAATCGCCACCGTCAGTCGGGCTTCGCCACTTCCGCGCCACTCCTTGGACTTATAAGTAGTTCAGTCGAACCTGTGTTAAGCAGTCACCGTCATGGGGAATGGTGCGGTGAGCCCTTGATATAGGTTGACCAGGAAATGAATTGCGTGATTTTCAGAATTAATATTCGTCCTAACAGTCTAAAGAGGGAAAATAATCTGCTATGTGTTGAAGACATTTGAACTAACATTAACATGAAATTAATTTTACGTGAGAGTTTATTCTTGGTTTTATGTAGGTAGTTTCAGTTTAGACAAACAGGCTGTTGAGACTCAGTCAAGGGTAACCATAACCGCTCAATAGGGGTGAAAATTACAGTTCTTAAGGGGGAAAACCGACCGCTTAGTACGTTTAGAAGGTGCCTGCAGAGCTGCTGCGCCTTTTCAGGTTCGACCATGTCTCAGGGCTTTGTTCAGGGGGATCCGTATCAAATTGACTTATTTCTGTTGATCTGGACGAAGGTCCTTCTTCCCTCCCGCAAAAGAAAAGACAGTCCTGGGAATTGTGAAATGCTTTCTTTCAAAAGAAGAAGAGTAAGCAATGACAGGTGTTTTACCAAATTTAGCAAAGAAGTGTCTTGGATACGCAATCATTTAAAACCTCTTTAATAACAAAACGTTTTTGTATTAAAAGTCACTTTAAGTGCTGAATACTATACCTTGTTAATTGCTTAATATGTATAAGTAGTTTACGGGGCGTAGGAGATTTGCAAATATGCGCTCTCATTCACGACATAAGCCCACTTTAAAAACAGAACGGAACAACCTCATCTTTCTTGTTGTTTGCTTGATATGTATAAGTTGTTTGTAGGGCGTAGGAGCAAAAGTGAAAAGTGTTACGCCAAACTTAGCATTTTCTTTTAACGCGTAGATCACTTCCGCGGTAACATTGACAAAACGCGAGACAGCCATTTACAAATTCAGTGCCCCTGCTATAATCACCTCGCGCGAGGTGATTATAGCGACGCTATTCTCGACCAATCAGAGCGCGCACATCTCTATAATGGGCAATCATACAAAGTAATGATAATAAGACTGAGAGGAGTCCAGGTCGTGATAAACAAATCGGATTTTGTTATCACTCGTATGATTACAGATCGAATTGGACGACACGAAGTCTTCTCACCAATTTATCATAAAAATTACAATTTCCGAGAGAAGAAGAATGGCCAAGTTACCAAAGAAAGGGAAAATTTCCATTAACTTATTTAAGCTACAACTTTAACGTGATTGGATTATTGATCTGTCCGATTACAACTTGGCAAGTGAATTGGAAGAAAATATAATTTTTGTAAACCAATTACAATCGGTTAAATTGTAATTTTTATGATAAATGTGACTATCGTCTAGTTATTTAGACCCATTCAAGAGTAAGCCGCTGATTAACAAAATCTGCCATGAATAACTTGGCCTCAAATGTCCTGGTGAATATATACAAAATACAATAACCCAGTAAGGCCTGGTTCCCAATAATGAAATGCTGATCATAACCATTATTATGTCAACTGATGTCATGATGGTGATACCACGATCCTTCGTTTCACCCGTTCACACCACAAACATGATGACAAAAGAACTTGCTATGTTACTCTCAAGTAAACGAAATGATTCTGGAAGTTGACCCCAGAAAAAAAAAAAGGCCCGAATAAAACTTAGGCCCTTAAGATATTCGAACCCACGCCTCTTGGACACTTGTGTGGCGGTACTTCCAACTGAATTACGTCCTGAATCGTTATTTCACTTGCGTAAACCAGGCTTCACATGGCTGTATTAGTTGCGAGATTATGAATGGTCAGTTAAACAAATTCTGAATTATGTTAAATTGTCCTTGTTTTCTCAGTTTATAGTAGTCATTCTGTGTTCCTCTGTAGCAGGAGACACTCTCCCGTTGTCAAAAAACCTTGCACTCCCATTATTGTCGTATGTGTACATCGTCAGGTTCTGAAACGAAAAAAAACCTTGCAAAACATACCCCATGACAATATGGTGATTCAACACCTAGCACATTACGAGTGGACCTCACCACACTGTAGGTTAATTCGTTGTTAGAAGAAAAAGGTAATCTGCTGCAATATCTAATGGTAACATGTCTCCATTTTACTATTAACCATGCTACTATTTCCGCCATATTCTTGGAGGACATTAGAGGAGGACTTAGGAACGTTCCTCGTGGATCAACTTACCCTCTACCATGAAATTAGTGGTATAGCCATTCTCGAGAAAGATGTTTTTCGTCTTGTCACGAGCGTGGTACAAAGAAAAAATTCTGAGTCCCCATATGGAATCGAACCTTTGCCATTCTCACTTTGACAAAATA